AATTAACTGAATACGAGAAGCTGCTTGATAAGAGTGGATAATAAGGAGATTACACAGGCACTAGCTTGTTTGGAATTAACCATTCAAATGTTTGGTGTTGTGTATGGATTATTTATGTAGACACCAAACCTCGCAGAATTCGAGGTTATGAGAACAGGTTGACAAGTCGAAAGTACGTTGCGCAGTCAACAAATCTTTTTGAATTTTTTCTTTTTTTTTTTTGAATTTACCGTTTATCCTTGCCTATCTTATTGTCACTCTGTATAATTTTATGGTTACCGGAGTTTTTAATAATTACGAAGCAACAGCTTTTTGCGCAATGTTAATTAGGCAGATTACCTTGAAAAACATGGCTGCCGTATTTCTGATATAGTTTTTTGGAAATTTCTCAGTTTTTAATAACAATTAATTTATTTTACTAATTTTTCTGTACCCCTATAACAGCGCCAGACAACACCTCCAGAGGAATGACGCCAACTTTGAATCACCCTGTATGCTAGGACACTTTGGACACACACCAAATAAATTTGGTGAAAATACCGAAATTTATTAAAACTCATTCACCCACTTATTAATTCGGATAGACTACGCATTTACGACAAAAGCTCAAACCGTATTATTCTTATTTATTTATTCACTCAGAAGTATCCTGATTTACCATTCATATCACAAAGTATCATAAGCAAGATTGAAAGAGAGTTTCGGAAAAATGGTCAATTAATAAAAAATAATCATTGTCTTACTGCACCCAATAATGCTGACAAAATGAATCAACTCTTACTTGTCCAAGAAAATCATTGTGTCCCACTAAGTCGATCCAGAGGAAACTCGAAGTGTAGCCATGCAGTTTTTGATGCAAAGAAATCTTAAAACCCAATAATATGATCTTCATACTTAAAGAGGAATTCAGGGTGACACGATTTGCGAGCCAATGATGAATCTATTAGACAGAAATGTTGTAAATATAAGGAGCGTCCCCTTTTCTCACACATCAATGTAAATGTTACAAGTGTGGAAAATCGACAAAACTTATTTTTATAGGGCAGACAAAACTCATATCAATCCTCAACAGGAAAACGACACTCAACATTCAGAAAAAGTCAATGTTTGATTATGGCTTGTTGATGACCAAGTAATAGGACCTATTTTTTCCATAGAAAGAACTACTTCTGAATTTCGCAGGTTACATTGTTTTCAGTGTTTTGTAATTCGGATGAAGCCGATATCCCGAATCTGGTTTAACCAATTGGGTGCGAATTGTCATTTTAAAACCTGCTTGCGAGTATCTAAATAAAGCATCTCGAAAATATATAAAACCTTGCTCCATAGCCTCCCAAGTTTCCAGATTTGGCACTCATGATAGTATTTGAAGAACACGGTTTCCAAAATCAAACCGGAAAGGAGTGAGGAGTTTCAAGCACGAATGCGACAAGAGGGTAAGCGAGTTTCCGGCAAACTAATCAGAAATGTTCGAAACAATTTTGTTTTCGTTTAGGATATTGTCAGTATAAAAGTTAAATATATTTTGAGCTATATATAATTTTTATTTAATATTTAGAAGGAGCGTGTATTTTGATATATTCTTTAAGGATAGTTACACAAAACTGAATTTTGTGGAAAAGCAAAACATCGATCATGTCGTTTTTCAAATTTAAAATGTTTCCAGCATATTTTCAAGAAGACTTGTCTTTGAATTAGCAAAAAATGTAAGTTTAGAATTCGCACTGTTATTACTATACAAGATGATTTAAAATTGGCGTCATTCCTCCAAGGGTGTTGTCTGAGGGTGTTAGGGAGTACAGGCAAAATAGTAAAAAAAACAGTTCTCATTTTGAGCAGCCTCTACTATTCGGCTAACTAAGTCGCGGGTAAACCATATATTTATTGTATCCTTGTGTCTTGTGTATCTTACAAACGTGGTAGGGATGTAGACCTGTGAACTGTGACTGTAGAATGTCAATTGCTGCCTCCAATTCCTGTTCCTCTAGGTCTGGAACTCGAGCATCTTGATATCGTCCTCTATCTGCGTCAATTCCTGGAACCAATCGTTCAGTGTCTAGCCTCTAGCCCTTCCTTGGTGTAAGTTGTTACAGCGTCAGCTATGCTACTGTCATTTCTCCATAACGATTAGTAGCTCAACATATACGATATTGGTGTCAGTTTTCTGAGAGAAGCTTCAAACTAAGTCACAATACGTTTCATCAGTGGTGACGTCACAAATTATACAGATTCGGAGACTGTATCCTGTACTCCCTAAGTAAATTTGCATTGGAGTTAGATACGAAGTTTCCAAAGTGTGCTGATTATCTTAGCAGTGAAGAAAAAGAAACATTCTAAGGTATGTATTTGCATTTAGGAGTGTCTTAGTAACGATTCTACATTGAAATAATCACGTAATTATTAGCAGTTTTCTTTATTTTCGACGAAAATATCTTGGTAACCTCAAACTTCATGTGAGCGGATAGCAAGTTTCGTATTAGTAACTGTGTTGAAGTGAGTTATTTGTATTTAAATGTTATAGACGAATGGTTATGTGTTGGGCTCTTGAATATAACAATTTTAATAATTGTGAAAATGTTCGTTTTTCCGTTTTCCAAAAAACTTACCAACACGAAATCGATGGATAAAGTTGATACGGTTAGTAAATCTTAAATTGTTATTTGCAAACCGTACTTTATACTTGAAAATGATTTATAGGAGAACTCTATAGATCCTGGTCCTAGTGGCTTTGAATGCTGTATGGAAATAATTAAAATGGCCCTATACAGCTCTTGGCCTTATTACAGTATCTTGTCGCAAAATAGGTAAAGTATCGGAGTCTCCAAAATTAGCAGAACGAAAATATCTACCGGAGCAGAAACCCCAAGCGACCATTTGAGCACATAGTAACTGCATATTCCTGTAATTTATATATAATCGACATACATCTATATATAATTTTACAGACCTGAAACTAAGCCACAACCTTCGACTTCGACTGAAGGTATTGCTGAAACTTTTATGTCTACAGCACGGACTGATGCTGAAAATTATTTTCTCCAACAACTGCAAGAAGTGCCAATGGGACTTAACAATTTATCTGAACGTTTTTCAATTGAAAGTACAAAAGGAAATGGCGTCTTAGTATTTATGTATTTTCCTACTTATGCAATATTTAAATGTTTGTTTGCATTACTCAAAGATATGTAACTGGAAAGTTGAAAAACTAAGTAAGCAAGATCAGTTACTCATAACTCTCATGAAACTTTAGCTGTTAGATATAATGTTTCGCCGCCTAAAATATACAGAATTACAGTAATACTCAGTAATTTTTTTTTCATACTGGCTCTCACATCTTTAAGTCAAGCAGGAGAGACTTCGGTAGCAAACACCAGCTCAGTGCCATTGCCTGTCTCTTAAGAGATTTCACCCTTCTTTAACTATGCACAGTCTTCTTCAAAGCAATCCGCTACTGTAGAAAATCGTACGACGTGACCTGCAGACACTTACAATGTTAACTTAATCTTTATAATCGTGGATCTAATAGGTCGGGCTGTGTTTTTAATCGACAAATTGTCTGCAAGGTATGTACACATTTGTACCCAACAGCAATAAGCTGTTATAAAACATAACGTGCATATCGAAATATGTATAATTTTAGAAAAAATAAGAACGATGAATCAAATGTAGTGAACAAAATAGTTGCTAACGATAGCGGTTCTTCTTTTTTTCTAATATTAATGCTTGTTAAGCTTAGATTTCTAGAAAAATACAGAATTAAACTATGTCCAATGCTAATAAGCTACGACAATTCGTTTGTGTGGATACAGTCCTTCGGCGCGGGCATCGTCTGACGTCAGACTAATGGAGCGTATTTGGCAAATGTTTGTTATTCTTGATAAAAGATATCTGCCTGTAACATAAAAAATGTTCATAATTTGAGGTAAACATGGTAATTTTTTTTGTCGAAAGCTTAAGCATTTTAATAGGCTACCAATCAAATATGGGACCAATTCAGAATAATTTTTTTTTCAACTGTTAATATCTTCTAAAAATTGTTGAAAAACATGTTTCAATGGTCAATATTTTTCTCGTACTCTCCAAGTTAGCCCTAATGAGACCTTACAAGAAATAACGCCAATTTTAAATCACCATTTATAGTTACTGTACTTACTTTTGATTTTAGTTGGGTTTTTGGCGTTTCTGGCTTCTCGAAAGTATATTACAAAAAGTAAGAATGTAACTATTGTTTTAGATTAAAATTAGAAACGTCATTTAAGTAAAAAGTGATAACAAAGCTGAATTTAGATAATCGATATCACGCTATCATCTCTCTGAACAGGTTGAAGCAAATTATATTTAAATAACAACGTAAATATACTTTACATTTAGGAATGTTTTCCGGGCTTTGAAGTCGTGGTCTAGTCATTTCTAGTCATTTTTAGTCGGAAAGCACGGGAGATCACTTCGCCCACTGCCTCATCGCCTTTGAAAATGTCCACCGCAGTTGTGGACGAAACGTCAGGAAGAAATTCCGATAGACCACGGCTTCAAAGCCCGGAAAACATTCCTAAATGTAATCTGACCGGCCGTGAAAGCCTTCATAGTCTGATAAATATATTTTCTACAGCAAGATTTGTACAATTTGCCTGCGTGGTTTCTGTAATCTTCTAATGGATTAGACTTCAGATTAGCAAAGTTTCTTTTCATTTTAGAAATGATCAATGAGACCTTCGAAGATAAGAGTCGTTGACAGGCGCTATTCAATATCATTACGTTATTTTTACAGTTTAGTAATTCTGAAGGTAAACAATTCTTGTTTCACTTTCCACCACTGAAAGGTATTAGCGATGAAAGTAAATAAGCTATGACGTGGGAATTGAATTTTTCTTTGCCACCATTTTAATAAAGTAAGTGTGGTCTTCCCAATTCAATTTTTTTACCACTAAATCTACATTCTGATTTAGTTTTATCATATATTGTTGATTGTTCAATAACTTATTAATTCGCTATGTTTCAAAGCATACGTTAAGGATTCAACAAGTTTTTGTGTGCTTCAACAGCTTGTTCATGAACTGTCTGTGTCGTTTTTTAGCCTATTCGTTCTAGTTATATTTTCATCTCTATATGCAGTGAGGAAAACCACTTATCCTTCTACCAACCTCTCATAAACATAACATTRAAAATTTCGAAAACATTGCAGAAAGGTTCTAAACATTTGTCTGAGAACAAAATTGGAGCTTCAAAATGTTATTTTGCATCATCTAATCATCCCCCYTTGCATATACGGCAAGGAATCAGTTTATTATCGAACCCTGATGATGGTTAAGAAAGAGCCAAAACGCTGGATACTGGAAAACGTGTTACAGTTTATTAGCTATGGCTAATGAACTGCAACAACAAGATGGCAACGTCGAATTTGAGAAACAAAAAATATTATTGTATCGAAATACGAAAATGAATCGTAGAAAAAATTCAGACTTATTATATTATATAAAGAGAATTATATTCGGCTTTCATCAGAAGTTATTTAAAAAATAACATGTAGGTACACATCATAAAATAACCAATTTAAATAAATGCCTAAAGTTTCTGCCGTCTTTTGGAAACTTTCGGATAATCTGAAAGTGTTATTTAAAGACGTCTTTCTTCGTTAACAGTCAGGTCAATAAGAACTTTCTTGCTGCTGCAAACATTGATCTGATTGAATACCTTTAAGGAGCAATGAAAATCAAGAGAACAATCAATAAAAAATTAACAAAATCTGTGCTAGCCGTTTGTTTTTGAAATAACATATCCATTTTCGGGCTACTATTGTCCCTCGTTGGAGAAATATGGATAGAATATGAATATAAATACAATTATGTAAAAAGTGGTTGGATACTTCGAAACTGACGTTGAATGCATCGAAATCTAAATGTATAGCTTTTCCACTTAAAGCGGCTAATCGCCCTAACTTTCGGCAAATTTATAAAAGCAGTCTTAACAAAGCTAGATCCAAGCTTGATTCTGTCAGGTATCAGGCTGTTGTGATTGATAGGTATTTGAGATGGGATCATCATGTCAATAAATCAACCAATAGAATTTGAAATTTAATATACAAATTTTATATGATTAGTGAACTTCGGAGTGCTGACTTCTTAACGGTGGCATATAGGGCTTCGAGTCGAGTCTCTGATAAGATATCCCTTGTGCTGGGTTCATGGCGACTAATGATAATTTGTCAAATTTCATAGAAAAAATTTAAGAAAATAAATACTTTGTATGATGGCAATAATTATATGGTACATCAGATCTTTCAGTATGAAGTAACAAGTAACTCTCTTATACGGGCCCGATTTGAATCATTGAAAATCGATGTAAAGCGAATGATTTTGTCTCAAAATAGTATTTTACAAAATGGAAATCGGTTAAGAAGCTTGAAAGTCATAAGAATTTGAAGGCCAAAAACACGATTTTTTAAGACAAATGTTATCAATTTTGTTGTTGTTAAAGGTCGCAATGTTTTTGGAAAAACAGCTTTTTGAAGGTAGAAATTTGCTGCATCACTTGACCAATATTGGTCCGATTTGCAGAAAAACGGACGATTTTCTATAAAAACTGCATCTTGGACAATTGCAGTCGGTTGAAAGTTGTGATAATTTCAAGGTCGAAAAGACGATTTTCCGAAGAAAATACTTTTAATTTTTACCTCGATTAGCTCATTTCCAAAATGCAAAATGAGATTGTTTGCAAAGTGTATTTCGATTCATTCACTGTCTATAAGAAAATTTGTATTTGTAACAGTTTGGAAGGAAATGGGCTCTAGATATTGGCAAGCGTACAACTCACAAACTTGCACATACTTCCACTCTTTACCATGTAACTCGGTCAGTTATCAAGATTTTTTAGAAATTCATAAACTTTTTAAAAGCCCAAAGATTTGGGTAGAAAGTGGCTGCAAGGCGAAAGTTATTTTTGGTCACCGTTTTAGCGCCAGGGGAGTTAAAAATTTCAAAGGCCTAAAGCGCTGGTTGTTCCTGGAAGCACGCTCTTTTGCTACGAGTTTGGCGACTCATCGATTTTTTTTAACTCCAAAATTTTTTTAGATGCAACTGAATGGTATACAATAAATTTTGCAATTAATGTTTTGTTTATTTTCAAATTTTCTGAAAATAGCAAATGCGCAAATTTTTCACTTAGCAGTCGAATTTAGACCAAAACGCTACTTTTCATTAACATCGTTTTCGTATATTGTTTTGGAGAAAATGGAATCTGTAGTTAGCGAGACTTGAACTGCAACTCACATGGCTTGCACACTAGCTTGTCAATAACTCTGCAACTGATGGCAATATTTCGAAAACAGAAAAACAGAAAATGCCCTGAGTTGACACGGATATTCGCTAGAGTTCACCTGTCTTGAAAAAAATCGACATTTGCAACAGTTTGGGAGATAATGAACGCTGAATGTTGGCAACCGTTCGACTGTTCCATTTGGGCGTACCTCCACTCTTTTGCCAGTAACTTCGTTAAATGTCAAGATATTTCAAAAGTTTCAATATGCCCAAATCCTCCAAAGTAGTAGCTATGAACATTATTCCAGCCTCAAATTGGATAGCGGTAACAGCAAAGCAGTAAAACGAGTTCGAACTCAACGAGTGTGCAAACTTTTGAACAAAACATTTCACAAATTAACATTAGTTGAAAAAGTTGACATTTATGAAGACTTCCAATAGAAATATTCTAAATTTTCAGTGCATTTAGTGAATTGAAAATTTTCATCTTTCAGTTAGACATAATTGTGTGCTTAATCGTCCCGTTGAAAGAGTAATTTGAAGTTGAATTTTTATTTTTTTATTGTTGCCTGTTTTGTAGAAAGTGCCTCTTCCCACGTAAATATTTTCAAACACAAGTTTGTGATCCAAACTAGTTTGGATGGTCGCCGTGAACAAAACAGGTTTCCCAGTCAAATATTAACGTCTCCGATCATGGAGCCGAATAGACTTTTTTATCCTAAATTAAATGCCCTGGGACGTTTGTTCGATTTTTATGAAACTTTGAGACTTTTCAGCTGGCTATGTTGCATAGAGCCATAGTTAGATCCACATTCAATGCTCCGTCGGAATATGAAACTTGCTTTTCACACGAGCTCTCGTTTTAACATTTTGTTCATTTTTTTATGGAACTGAGCCAGAAAATCAATTTTTATGAAACAGCTGGAGGTGTCGTCCAAAACCGATCTGAAGAGAAGATCCACATTCAGTCTGCACGCCTCATTAAAGGGGGTCAAATCAGTACAATTATTTTTGCACGAGTTATTGACTTTTTTAAACTCTATAATA